ACTCTATCCTGACTCTATCCTTTTAGCCTTTAGTTAGGATTTTTTCCCCTTAACAGGTCACTTTAGGTACTGTTACTTAACCCTTGAGCTATCTGCTAGTAGCATTTATTTATTGGGCCTAGTAATGTGACCCTGATTGTAATTAAAGCGGCACTGTCATGCCGAATCCCGTTTTTTTTTTAACCCCCCTCCCGCCTCCACTACATCCAATTGACCCACTAGTCACCCCCAAATGCCCCTAAGCCCCCCACATTACCTATTTTTTTATCCTTATTTTCTGCCCCGATCTTGATTCAGGGCGCCGCCATCTTTGTGTGGGTAGGTGAAGTCCCTCAGGGACACGTCATCAGCCCACACTAGACAGACTGTGAGATTCCCGCACATGCCCAGTGAAACACCTGGACATGCGAACGGGAAATTCATCTATTCATTCATTCATCAGACAGACGAATGAGTGAATAGAAATGTCAGACGAACAAACTAACACTATGTATCAGTGTTCGTTTGTTCGTTCAGTTTATTACAAGGAGGAGCCCCATAATAGCACAAGGGAGATTAAAATCTCCCAAATGCCCCTACTCGCTATACCGCGAGTAGGGGCATGTCTACTAAACAGTGAGCAGCCTGTTACAATAAGGGGAGGCAGACCTATTGTCCTCCCTCTCCTCCCCCACCCTGAGCGGCGGGTGGGGGCCATGAAGATAATGAGGGGGGGGCCTACTGTCCTCCCCCCCGGCCCCCACCCCTGAGCGGTGGGTGGGGGCCCTAATAAAACAATAGGGGGGGGGGACCTACTGTCCTCCCCCCCGGCCCCCACCCCTGCGCGGTGGGTGGGGGCCCTAATAAAACAATAAGGGGGGGGGACCTACTGTCCTCCCCCCCGGCCCCCACCCCTGAGCGGTGGGTGGGGGCCCTAAATAAAGATATGGGGGGGAACTTCTGTCCCCCCCCTGGCCCCCACCCCTGCGCGGTGGGTGGGGGCCCTAAAAAAACAATAAGGGGAGGACACCTACTGTCCTCCCCCCCTGGCCCCCACCCCTGCGCGGTGGGTGGGGGCCCTAATAAAACAATAAGGGGGGGACCTACTGTCCTCCTCCCCTGGCCCCCACCCCTGAGCGGTGGGTGGGGGCCCTAATAAAACAATAAGGGGGGACCTACTGTCCTCCCCCCCGGCCCCCACCCCTGAGCGGTGGGTGGGGGCCCTAATAAAACAATAAGGGGGGGACCTACTGTCCTTCCCCCCGGCCCCCACCCCTGAGCGGTGGGTCGGGGCCCTAAATAAAGATATGGGGGGGAACTTCTGTACCCCACCGGCCCCCACACCTGCGCGGTGGGTGGGGGCCCTAATAAAACAATAAGGGGGGGGACCTACTGTCCTCCCCCTCTGGCCCCCACCCCTGAGCGGTGGGTGGGGGCCCTAAATGAAACACCCCCCCCCAATCAAGGTGACTCCCAAGCCCCTAGTCACCCCCCCCACCCAAAAAAACCTATCCCCTACCTACCCCCCACACCCTAAAAATAGTGAGGGGGGAATAAAATAACTAACCTGTAAAAAAAAAAAAATTAAACTTACCATTTGATGTCTTCTTTTTTCTAAAATCTTCTTTCTTCAGCCCCCAAAAAGGCCAAATAAAAATCCATCATACCCGTCGCACTTTAAAAAAAAAAAAAAAAACGAGCGCAAAAAAAATTTAATCCAAGTTCGCCCTTCGAGGGCACGCCGCATACTGAGCTCCGCAGGGCGGGTCAAGGCTTATAAAGCCTTGCCCCGCCCTGCAATTAGGCTTAGAACACTCTGATTGGTGGGTTTAAGCCAATCAGAGTGCTCTGAGTCATTTTACACAGCGTGTATTAGTTAGTTTTTTGTTGTTTTTTTTACAGTGAGAAGCTATAAGCTGCTCACTGCTTACTACACATGCCCCTACTCACGGTATAGTGAGTAGGGGCATTTAATTTACTAATACTAAGTAATCTTTACTTAGTATTAGTAAATGTGGCTGAAAGACCAATTTAGGTCTTTCAGCCTTTTAGTAGATAGCTCCCTGATACCGTGGGAATTAGGGAGTTATCTACTAAGCGGCTGCAAGATGCAGCCACAGCAATGAATAGGATCAGAGTTTCATTCATTAGAATGAAATTCCGATCCGAATAAAGTGCCGAATTGCGTTCTAAAAGAAACGAACATACTGTTGTCATTCAGTTAGAACACAATTCGGCAGTTTTGTGGAAAGTGACAGGAAGCATTGTGGGAACACAGAGGGAAGGTAAGGATCATGGGAAAATTGCTCTGACCAGCGGAAATGAAGCACACTTTGCTCCTCCGCTGGTCAGAGCTGGTCAAGCGGAGGAATCCTCCATAAGGCAAAGAGTCCCTTCTTTGTCTTATGATTTTAAGGAAAACTAAAGAAGACAGGAAGAAAAGAATAACAGATCCTGAGAGAGGGGGAGAAGAGGAAGAGATTGAGGAAAGGTAAGTTCGGCATGGCAGTGCCGCTTTAAGAGTATCTTTAACTGTGTGCAGATAGCAAATGCTATGATGCAGGATCAGACTGATCCTCAGGCAGGGATAGTAGGGATGACGCCAGCCTCGGCATCAGACGAATTTCAATCCCTCCTCGATTCTATCACAGAGCAATCCATCAACAAGGCTTTGGCCTCCGTGATGGTGGTAATGTCGTCCTCTATCACACACTCAATAACCCAAGCCCTGCTGCAGACTCGGGGTAGTTGCCTTCAGGGCACGCAAAACCCAGGAACCACTATGTGGCACAACCGGGATGCAAAGCTTTGGTTAAAAGCAGACATACTATTTCCCCTCCAGAACTTCAGGTTCAGCTTGTACTGAATAACACGACTCAGGCTGTCGAGGATGGTTAGATACCACTGCCCAATAGGGCCCCATGCCAGGCAAAATTGGCTAGATCGTGGAAGCCGCAACATGCCCATGAGGACTCGTCTGATTCGGACAAGAGTTTGGATCAATATGGAGCATAAAGTTCCGATTCTGGGTCTGATGTGAAACCAATCACTGCGACCCAGAAGGTTAATGCTTAGGGCTCTGAGCCTACCAGATCGGGCGAGGGCAACGGTCTTCGGGACCCTCAGGGTAACCTGTTGTTTGACCCAGATGACCTGCATCACTCTCGCTCAGCGGAATGGGAGCCACCTGAGCACATCGCAAGATACCTCGAGTTATGAGTGCGGAAACCTTTGTCCAAGGAGGGGCGTAGCAAGCTACAGGCAGAATGCCCACGGCTCAGAGGGGAAAACCCCTCACCTGGATCCTCCGTTAGTCCAATTCTTGAATAAGTCAGGTTGGAAACCGAGGAAAGGCCTAGACTTTTCCCTTCGGAACTGCCTGGACAAGTTCCTGGACATCCTGGGGCCCATCTCTAAGCTCTATGAATTTGTGGAATCCGCCCAATCAGGTGAGAGCGACTTCGACT